CCTTTGTGAGGAAAACATCTCGACGGCAAAGCTTGTATGCACCAGCAAGAGAGTCCTGGACAATACCCATCAAAGGACCATTCTTCTGAGGAGAGACAATGTTTAAGGGGACTAGACAAAGCTCTTTGACCTCAGCGCGTGTTTCTTCGCTCTGGGGGACGTGAAGGTTCATCTCATCACCATCGAAATCGGCGTTGTAAGGAGAAGTGACAGAAAGATTGAGGCGGAAGGTTGAGTATGGCATGACGCGGACACGATGACCCATCATAGATTCTTTATGCAGAGAGGGCTGACGGTTGAAGATGATGTAGTCACCAGTCATCAAATGACGCTCAACCTTCCATCCGTATTCCAGAGAGATCGCACCCGCACGACGGTGATGGCGTAAATCGATTCGCTGACCATCGGCTCGGATGACATACTTAGCACCGGGGTGTTCGTTGGGTCCATTCTCGACAAGTTGATGCAGCTTCCCGATATTGTAGGGTGTGACAGTCTCGGGATAGGTGAGGGTCCTGGCAATACTGCGAGGGACACCGACCTCGTGTAGTGAAAGGTTGGCATCACCAGTAATGACAGTACGTGCCGAAAAGTCGACACGCTTACCCATCAAATTACCTCGGAGACGACCCTCCTTACCCTTTAGACGTGCACGAATAGCCTTCACAGGTCGGCCACTCTTCTGTAGAGCACGAGGTTGACCAGCAATGTCATTGTCCATGTAGGTGGCAACATGATATTGCAAGAGTTCCTCAAAGTCTCGGGCAATATGTTGAGGGGATCCTTCACGAATGGCTTGCTTGACATTTCCGTTGGCACGGATGATATCACCCAACTTGTAGGTCAAATCATCTTCGTTGCGCATACCAGTTCCAGTGCCATCCATGGAAATACTGGGACGGACTGGGGGTGGCGGCACAGGAAGGACAGTAAGAACCATCCATTCGGGACGAGCGTAATCGGAGTTGAGACCCATGTTGACAAGATCATCCTCCGTAATCCTCCTTAGAATGCTGTGAGCCATCTCGGGGGTGATGGGTGTTGTCTCCTTCTTCTTCGACTTCTGTCCATCTTCATCGACTGTAACTTCATCAAAGGCGGCCTTGAGTTGTAGAGCTGCCTGTCGAACGTTAGGCTGCATGTTACCGCAACCACCGTGCCCTCTCGGAGGACCAGTCTTCGTGCCGAACTCATCGTCCTTTTGCTTGGCTTCGTCGTTCTCACATCTCCGCTTCTTCTTGCAGACTTCCCACACGCGGTTGAAACGGACTTTAGGATCTCGAGTGTTAATGGCGTTAACGAACTCAGGATCTCTCTGATTAGGCGGTTAGCATCAAAGGTCAAATAGCGTCATACAGCGAGACCAACATCATCGGCTAGCACTTTGCTGCAGTTGTGGCAGACAATCTCCAAAATCTTCTTGACTTTCTTGATAAATCCGGGATGGTAGACAGGTTTGGCCAGTTCGATATGACCAAAGTGGCCAGGGCACTCGCCCATTGCTTGGGTGCAGGTCTTGCAACGGAATTGTCGATCGATCGATCCGAGGAGCGGGTCATTGAGGCCACCATCACGAGGCTTTGTTTTGTTCTCCTCCATCGTTTCGGGATAAGTAATGTGGCAGACACTCATGTTCTTGATCTCCTCGGGAGACATCAAACCGAACTGAATCTCTTCCACCGTCTTGAGCGGAGCGCTCGAGTGGGTGAAGTAAAGGTTGGCCATGGTGGCGATATGTGATTGTTCTGACGTGGAGTGGAAAGGAGCGAGAAGCGAGAGTAGAGATCCAAACGCGCGCCGAAACGCAAAGAAACGCGAAAAGTAGAAGAAAAGTGCAAAAAGATGCTATTAAAAAGGTTTTTGGTCGCGCAAGGCTGTAAAGTCGATAATAAATTCTCTCAAATGCGATTGCTTGAATGGGCGATGAGCAGCAACGCCTGTCCTGGCCACTGGCTCAGGTGAACCTCAGGCTGGTCTCCCCCGTCGCCGCCACCTTGTAGGTTGCAGAAACTCGAAAAATCGCGGTCGGCGATGTCGTCGATCGTTCGTTATCGGTGGTTAAGCTGTTTCGATGGGATGCGCGCGATGCCCGACGCGCGCTGTGATGACTTTGTGCTGTAGGCAAAGTTTTGTCGTGGTTGAAGCGAGAAGGTCGGGGGAAGCCTGAAAGATTCTGGACTTGAGAACGGCTAGTAGCAGTTGTGCGCTAAGCCTTTTTGGGCCTCACTGAGCTCAGGGTGTTGCCTGAGGCTTGTGGCACGCGTGAGTAGAGCTACTTTTGGTGCACGTTCTCGCGCGCTTACTAAAGCCAATTTTCGGTGTAAAATGAAAGCCAGTCGCGCTTTTGGATGGGTCTCCAAAGTATCGGTACTCGTACCCCCAAGAAATTGGATCCAATCACGCCCTCTGACGTTAGAGATCCGGGCAGTGACTCAGGCTATGGCGAAACAGCTCCTAATCATTGATTCTGAGCACTTGATCCTTGAATCAGTTTGCATGAAATTATGTTATTGCTGTGGACTATCAAGAGGCTATAAGAAAGAAGAAAGTCACATTCGCCCTGACTACATACTCAGAAGTACTATCAGATATGGTATGGATATTGAGATAAGTCTTGTAAGTCTTGAGACGCAAATCATAATAAATTCTTTCTGTATTTTGCAAAATATTTCATTCGTCTCATTATTAGACGAAAATGGTATGTTTGCAATCATCCCTATTCCATGCAGCTTTGGCCACTCCAAATGCGACAAAGGCCCCTTTGTTCTTTGCCATCCATCCATGTTTCCACCCATCATCTCCTTTGTTGTCTAACGCTTTCGGCCTCTTTTCCCGGCCGTGCTTTTCTTGACGGGTATCTTTTCCTCCAAATCGCTTTGACCCTCTCCAGGACTCCTACGTCTCATGGTGCCGGTTGATACTGCGATGAATTCATCCTCGCTGTCGCTCTCCCCGAGATTAAACAGAATTGGCATCCGAAAGCTTTCTCCCTCGTCCAGAGTTTTTGATGGATCCAGAGTCAATACATCGATCTCCTCATCTTCAGCATCTAGTCGCCGTCGGTGTATCTCTTCCTGTGCATAGATATCGAAATCATCTTCCCGCTCGATGTACTCAACATTCTCTTCCACTTCAGCAAAGTCAGGCGCCAGCGCCGACCATTTTTGTGGACTGACAACAGACCATATGTATATGCGACCAGTTTCCAAGCCACAGGCAGCCAAAAGCGCACGAGTGGGATGCCACTCTATCACGCCTTGTTCTTCTTTTGGGTCCTTGAGCATACACACAAGACTGCCATGGTTACGTTCCCATACGTACAGCTCGTGGTTGTTATACGTCGATGCTGCTACATATTCACCAGTTGCACTGAACGTGACGTGATTCCATGATAGCCTGTTGACAACGTCCTGGAACTTGTGCTCCAGTGGTACTTGTAGGGTGTCGAGATCGAGGTTCTCGGCCAGTAAATTTGGTACTCGGAAAGTTCGAATAATTCGGTCTTGGGAATTGACTAATAACTCGCGGCCCGATACAGTCATTCGCATGGTGGTAATAACACCCGAACATATCTTCTCCGAGTAAATAATTTCGTACGTCTTCGCATCGATAATGTTAAGCTTTCCTTTGTTGGTTCCGGCGAGGATATGGTCTCCGGTTGTGCTCCAGATCGCAGAAGTTGTCATTTGTTTGGCATCTTCTTTGGCTTGTTTTTCGCGCAATGCCGCATCGTCGGTACTCGGTCGCTTCGCCGCTGAGGGGAGAATATGTTTTACGTCGACAGGATCGGTTACGTCGACTAGGACTGGCTGCTCTTCGAATAGCGCTGCGACGAATTGAAGGCTGACTCACGTTAGTCAAGCTCAAGAGATGATCGCGCTTCCTTACTGGTTCCATGGATGAAGCTCAGCCATATACGCAGGCGCGCGAAAACGAACCTCACGAAGACGCTTTCCATCCTGAAGGTCCCAAAGGATAGCTTTCCATCCTTGGCAGGTCGTAAGAAGATACTGTCCACATCTTGACCAGCTCAGAAATGTAATGCTCTTATTGTGACCTCTTAGTTTCCTCGCGACTCCCATTGTCTCCAGATCCCAAATCACAACGGTTCCATCGACTCGGCCCGAAGCAAGGTAATCGCCCTGGCGATTAAAACGTAGAGTTGTTGCATGTCCTGAACGGATCGTATTTGTGATGTGCTCGGGGTAATCTTGGAGAAGATAGTCATCTGAGAGTAAGAGATTCATAATAGCGAGACGCTGAAAGTCAGCGTCAAAGAATAGTAGTTAGAATAAAGAGCTTGTGTTCCATTAACGAAAGTGTTTGTGTAAGCTCTAGAAATTGGCTTCAGCCGTGCTGTTGGAGGTGGGCTTGATCTGCAAGGCTACAGGCGCAGGCCCACAGGACCTAGGTGTGCAAATAAAAATGTGGCTGATGCTTTGTTCCTCACAGTCGCTTATGTCTTGGAGTAAGATGAGTGACAGTCTTTATATGGAGTTGTTCTTCATGAAATGATCTTGTATTAATTCATTACTCAGATATAGGGAAGGGGTATGTGCTTTCTGTTCTTGGATGTATGTAGTCGTCTGTCGCTCAAAGGTTTGAGCGAAGCTTCATGTACAGTACCGAGGGGCGCTAGAAGAGATTGAAGATAGATACAATGCCTTCAAATTAGGTGCTACATGATCTATCAAATCATAGCTACACATCTGAATTATGAAGATCGCTATATAGCTTAAAGTTTAGAAGTTTAGTATTATTATTACAATTCTTAGGTTTGAACTTGGGCGTAACTTTATACATTTGTTATATCATTTCTCTCCAACATTTCTTGGACCCCAAGGAGTACATAAAATATTCGCTTCTCCACCATATCCAAGTTGCACTAACAAGCAAATCACATTGACTCACAAACACCAGACTCACAAACACAGCCAGCGCATATATAATTTAAACCATCATTCTTTGTTTACGGTCAACTTCTCATTGAGGCTCGCAAAATGGCGAATTCCAAGTGAGTCTTGATAGCTCCTGTACCTACATCATCGCTAATCGAATGATTCAAGATTTGAATATGTCCGTAACTTTGAGACGCCAGATCCGCTACTACCCAACACATGGATCGTGGTTCGAGTCGATGGAAGAGGTTTCACAAAGTAAATCGATTTTTGCTCTTCAAAATGAGTCTCCTAACAATCGATAGAATGTGTGCCAAGTATGGCTTCGAAAAGCCAAATGATCGCCGTGCCCTTGATCTCATGAACACTGCTGCAAAGGCCGTCGTTACTGAATTACCCGAAATCACCATTGCATACGGCGTCAGTGATGAGTACAGGTTTGTTAGATGAACCATTTGAAGGTTTTGTATCACTGACACCTTAAACAGCTTCGTCTTTCACAAGGCATGCACTTTGTTCGATCGAAGAGCCAGGTCCGTTTACAATCAATCTCCCCAGCCTACGTCCCAAGCTTACAATTTGCTAGTAAACTTGTTAGCACTGTCGTCTCAACATTCACTGCAAATTATGTATACTGTTGGTCGGCTCACTTCCCAGAAAACCCATTGTCTCCTCCACTGCCATCCTTCGATGGAAGGGCAGTGTGCTACCCTAGTGTACAGAATCTCCGGGATTACATGAGCTGGAGACAAGCAGATTGTAGGTTTTACAACTATACAAATGGCCCAGACTAACATAACTTAAGGTCACATCAATAACCTCTACAATACATGTTTCTGGTCTTTGATCCAACTCGGAGGTCTTGACAACAAGGAGGCTGAGAGTACTCTTGCTGTAAGTGATCGTACCATGAAGCTTGAACGAGCTGACAACATTAGCGCACATTGGCAGCAGACAAAAATGAGATACTCTTCTCCCGCTTTTCTATCAACTACAACAACGAGCCCGAGATATACAGAAAGGGTAGTGTTATCTTCCGTGACGTAAGTGCTCTCATCTTCACTCTCTGAGAACTAGCACTAACTTTCTATAGTACGAACTGGTTGACCCAAGCTCTCACAATACCATGCAAACAATCGACTCTCAAGCAGAGCCCGTTGAGCAATCAAAGTCACAGAAGGAGAAGGACAAGAAGAGCCGAGCCAAAGCTCGTGTGGTGGTGGAACACATGGACATCATCAAGGACGATTTCTGGAACCAAAGACCATGGCTTCTTTCCAACAAGCCCGGGAAGATTCCGAAACAGACGTAAAATATACATCTATGGGGTATCATCCAAAAATTCCATTAACCTCAACTCCGTGAATATGCTTTCGCTGTATATGCCTTCAAACTCCAATCTTCCATGTCCCTCTATGTTCTATTTCCCAGCCTCTTTCGCTCTTTGTCTCCTTTTCTCTTCTTTCTTTGCTCGCCGCCGTTTTTTCTCCTCGTCTGCGTCGCTCGATTCTGCTGAGGACTTGGAGGATTTGGAGGACCTTTTCGACTTGGACTTGAGCTCTCGGCGTGCAGCTTTCTCGGCCCTTCTCGCGGCCCGTACTTCCTTTCGCTTCCTCTTTGCTTCTTTTCGGGCTTTCTTCTCCTCCTTGGTTTCTTTCCGAGGCTTGTCCTTGTCAGACTTGTCGCCTTCTTGTTGGTCACTCGATTCGGTTTCGGATGAGTCCGTGCTCGAGTCGTTGATTGTGAGTTTATCTATTGTTCCTTCGAGGAATCCGCCTCGTACGAAGGTCGTGTATACGGAGTATTTGCCGAGGTTCTTTTCGAGAGCGTTCAGCTTGCCTGTTGTGACAGTCTGAACCACTTTTCCATCCTTGGAGGTATCGATACCCTTGAGTTGCTCATCGAATGCATTCATCCACCATTGGTCACTAGTGAAATGCTGTTTCTGACCCAGTCCTCGAGTATTGTCTTTGCGATTCAGCAGCAGAGGTTTCGCAAGACCGATTGAGTCGTCGGTTTTATGTAGGGAGTGACCGGTGCCTCGCCAGCCTTGGGAGGATAGTAGCGCATGTGCGTCCATTGTAGTATTGTGTATTGAGCCTCTCCTGCGACCAATTTGATGGGTGTTGGTCCAGTTTTTGTCAAAGAGGGAACGGGATAAAGAATTGGAGGATTGAAGGTTGGACGGTTTCGAGGGTCGCGATTGGGATTTTTTTTAGCGGGGCTGGCTTATCAGTCCCCAGATTGGTCTTATCAATGGTCGTCGTATTTCCGTTTCGCCTACCCTATATCTCCCAAAAGACTACAGAAATTCTTGTATGTATGCATACCAACACCGAGCATAAACCGTAAGGCTTAGTTAGAGTGCTAAATAATTATTCGCATCAAGATTACAGATAGTTGTCGCCTTTGATCAACATTATTGTGAATGCAGTCACCGTTTCTGAACTTCCTTCCTGCTAATCACCCGAAAGTCCAATATCCGCTTTATCGAGTTATCTTCATGTCGAAAAGGGCATGGAGATACTTGTTGACGCAGGTGGAATGTTGGCTTCCACAATCCTTAGTTGTGTAGTACCATGTTCTAGTGTTCTGGTATGTTTGACCTAAGCTTAACCCCTGAGATATGCAACTGATCTCATAACCAAGATACGCTATTCAAGTAGTACTGTGTATGACGTTAGATCTACATGTCCTATTACCAGCGCTAGGACTTCTAAGACGATACTTATTAAAAACACCCTTCATTTTTCGATTCAGCGTGATATATCGAACTTATATCTTTCATTTCTTTCTATGAAAGTGAGGACAAAAGGTCTGCATCTTCTTGGTCAAACGCACGTGACGAAAGCATATTACGACTTCAGTGATTACATCACACCAATTACAACCCGTCTGCACCTCATACCAGGCTTCGAGTGTTCAGGTCTGAGCCTAGAACCTACGGAGTGCATGTTTCAGTATTGCACGACCAACAGCACTGCCTACCCAGGCAACTAGGACGTTCAGCCTGAAACTGAGCGTTTAATCTTTGATCCTGCACACACACAGGCCATGCTCAGGCCATGACTTGTTGACATCACAGCCAACGCGTACTATATAACCAACTGCCCCCAGCTCATGACCAGCTTGTTTAGCAACAAATCCATCTAAAGTTTCGTCTGGGTCAATATCATCAAAATGGCGCCAACATGCTCAGATCCTCGTCAGATCGTCATCACTCTCAACCCCGCGCGTCGCCAAGCCCTCCTCAAGCTCGTTGATGAGATCACTACTTACATGAGTGATCAACTACAAGCTTCCGACGATGAGCTTGGCCCTGTCCTATCAACGCCTCGAAACGAGAGCGGGCCTTCTACACCAAGAGACGAGAATAGATCGTTGACACCCAGAAATGATGACTCTGATAGAAATGCTCAGCAGCAGCAGCCGAACAAGTCATCGGCGCAAGCACTGCGCATCCAGAAAGCTGCCATAAAGCACTTGAAGGAATGGAAAAAGGAATTCATGCCCAAGCTAGAGGAGATTGTTCGTGTCAAGGATGATCACAAGATTCAGGAGGAAAGGCGCAAACATCAACAGGAGGCAGAAAAGAGGAAGCTCGATACACCCGAAGAAGGCGAGAATCTCATCAGTTTTGGAGAGAATAAGATTGACAAGTCTGAGAATATTGCTTTACAGGCTTTGTATCATCCTATCCCAACAAGACTGACGACGATCCCTGCTGCCGACAGAAGAGAGGCTATATCATGTATCCTACTCCTTCTGCTCTCCACGGGCAAGTATTCCGCCCATACACGAGCGCTTGCGCTCTATCTTGCTTCCTCTCTGGAGATTCCTCAGACTTTCATCACCAAGGAAGAAATGGAAATTGCCAAGACTCTTCTCGAATCCTCCAAGGACCAAGATAAGCAGCAGGATGTCATGTCTGCGGAGGCCGAAGCTTCCAAGCGCCGAGAAGAGAACAAGTTCAGTCGATTCTGGAAAGTTGGGCTTGCTTCTGTTGCTGGTGCAGCTGTGATCGGCGTCACTGGTGGTCTGGCAGCACCTCTTGTCGCTGGAGCTGTCGGTGGTATCCTCGGTGGTGTGGGCTTGGGGGGTGTTGCTAGCTTTCTTGGTATTTTCTGGATGAATGGTGCTCTTGTAGGCGCTCTTTTTGGTGCCTATGGAGGAAAGATGACTGTAAGTTACTTTTCAAACCCCCCTGTTTCTTCCCGACTAACATCACAGGGTGAAATGATGGACAAATACGCGAAAGAAGTCGAGGACTTTCGCTTCATCCCTCTTAGGGGCGAATGGGGAGAGGTCTTTAATGCAGAACAGGATCAAACACAAGCACAGGAACGGCGACTGCGTGTTACAATTGGTATCAATGGCTGGCTTCGCGATGAGGATGATGTGACTAAGCCATGGCGTATCCTTAGTGACGACACTGAGGTCTTCGCTCTGCGCTATGAGATGAAGTCTCTCATTGCCTTGGGACATGCTCTGCGAAGCATGGTCGAATCGTTTGCCTGGAAGAAGCTCAAGGTCGAGATCATCAAACGTACTGCCTTTGCCACCCTGCTTGCGGCTCTTTGGCCTATCCAGGTACTTGCTGCTGCATCCAACATTGACAATCCTTTTGGTCATGCACATAACCGATCTCGAAAAGCAGGCCAGCTACTCGCTGACGCTCTGATCAACAAGGTTCAAGGCGAGCGGCCTGTTACTCTAATCGGATATTCCCTTGGCGCTACAGCGATTCATGCCTGCTTGCAGTCACTTGCTGAGCGGCACGCTTTTGGGCTCATTGATTCAGTTGTCATCATCGGCGCTCCCGCTCCTTCAGCCCCCCCTCACTGGCGTACCCTCCGCACCGTGGTCTCGGGAAAGATCTTCAATGTCTATTCAGAGAACGATATGATTCTTGGATTTGTCTACCGCGCTCACAGTCTTTCCATGGGTGTCTCAGGCTTACAGAATATCCAAGAGGTTGAAGGTATTCAGAACCTCGATCTCAGCGATTCCGTCAGTGGACACCTCCGATATCCCGATCTCATTGGCGAGATTCTCAACAAGTGTGGATTTGTTGGAATCAAGACAACATCGGAGATCGAAAAGGATGATGTGATTTTGATGAAGGACCGTCATGCCGAGGGCGAGTTGATCAATTTCGAAGGGACTACAGTTGAGGGAAAGGAGAGTCCTCAGTCGCCAAACCAAGAGCAGATCGAAAAGGATCTTCATGGACTCAACATCTCTCCTCCGGCTCTTGCATCGCCATCGCAACCTCCAGACCAAGGAAAGTCACTACAGCAGTCCAGCACTGAGAACCCACCGCTTCCTCAAAGGCCCACTCCGCAGGACAGGGAAGAAGAAGCACCAAAGCTGCCCCGACGGCCCGTAGCGAGCCAAGCACAGCCATCATCAGCACCAGATGATGAAGCTGGACCGCCATTGCCCCGACGTCCTACGGAAACCCAACAGGAAGACAGGCCTACTATTCCCCGCAGACCAGTTGGAGCAGATAAAGAGGTGAACCCTCCTCTTCCTCGACGTCTTGAATCTTCACATGATACTCATCAACAACAACAACGGCCGTGGACGCCCGAGTCGAATCTTACAGATGATGAGGAGTATGGGCACATTGCTATGGTGAACTATGACAGCGACCACAGTACAAAATGAGGGCAGAATCTATTGGTTAGAGACTCGGTCAAATAGAGTTATCATCGAACCGGGTCAACAGTAGGGGACGCCGAGTTTACATTTGTCGGTAAAACCCCAAGCTCTAATCATTTCGATAAGGCCCTAGGGAATATATGTTAGTATATCTGTATGATAATAGTCTATAATCATAAGATTAGTCCACGACTGAATAGGATTACTATATGATCTGAGGATCTTACAAGTTATGATTAGGATCTCGAGTTACAACCTAAGCTAAGACTAACGCATCCTCAACTTGGGTTCAACTCATCCTATCCAGAACTACAGGTTTGTAGACCTACATAAGGCTTATGACAAGATCACGATCAATTACAATTAATTTTATTAATGGGGTATATAAAGGTGAAGTTAATTAGGCTAGCAACTTGTAGAACTTAAAAGGATCTTTATGAATCTGATAGGCATAAGTTACCTAAGTGTTAGTCTAATTTAGCAATGTCCCATCCCTGATCCTTCAGACTCCGTGTATATTATTAAGAAAACTAAGGTATCCCGCGTTAGTTACATCGCCAAACGTTAGATTGAGAGCGACAAGACTTACCTTCCATCGATGCCCACACGCCATGCATTCGCAGAAAGTTGTCATAGGTTCATCAGCAGCTCGGGTCTGCGCCTGCGTGTAGCTGACCTGCTTCTTCTTACAACGACCACACTCTAGACTCTCGCTGATACTCTTCTCAGCCATAGGCACCTGAGCCTTCTTCATGTTCTCCTTTTCTAGTTCAAGCTCCTTCTTGCGCTGCTCCTCGCTCTTGAGCTCGTCGTCGGTCATGATAACAAACTTCTCGGCAGTGATCTCGCCGGATAAAACGCTGCGCCCGAGTTCCCGGTTGGACTTGTTCTTGAGATTGGTGAACAATGATCGGATCTTCTTCTTGTAATCAGGCGTTTCCCCCTTGAATTTGGTGTAGGCGGCATGCTCAACAGCGACGGCCCTAGTAATGACGTCGTTCTCGGTTGCCGTTGATCGATAGGCCAGACCATTGTAGATAAGGCCAATGCAGGAGTTTCTGACGCCGGAATCGGTGCGCTTGACGTTCACGTTGTCGGTTTCATATTTTCGCTTCTCGATATCGCCCTTGTACTTGGCTCCAGAGGCACCTGATGATGATGATGGAGGAGGAGGAGCAGGAGATGACGCGGGTGCTGAGGATGGAGCTGGAGCTGGAGACCCTGAGCCGACCTTTGACCGTTGTAGTTTCGAGTGCTTTTCTTGTTCGACTAGCTTCTTCCACTTGTTGACGAGTTCGGCGGCAGCGCGGGCGATATCCTTATTGGAATTCGAGCGAAGTTTGCCGACAAAAACACCGGCTCTTGTAGCCTATGACGAGAATCTCAGTATTAGCACAGTCCCTGTGGAATCAAGAGTGCAATATCCGATAGATCCGCCAAGGTCGCAATTTTGACGAAAGAAAGGCGAGAAATGCGATCATGCATTTGCGCAAACCAACCAACACGTGTATATATTCAAAACGCGCGCAGAAAAGCGCTCTCTCTATCGCTCCTTGATCCACGTACGTACCCTTAGCATCTCTTCGGTGGGAGAAGCATCCTTCTTCAATGTCTCGAGCAACTTGATGGCGTTCTCGGGGGGCTCATTCGCAGCAACACACTTTGTGAGCGCCTTGATGCGCTGCCCAAGTTCGCGTTCGTCCATGGGCATTTTTGCGGTTTTGGAGGAAAAGGGTTGAAAGAGTTGATAAATTGAGGCGTGGTCTGTCGCAAACTTACCTACACCAGCCTACCTATGCCTGATGGGTGGCACGTGAGCCCCTGGCTACTTTCTGTACCGGAGTTTAACCAGATCGTGGAGGTGGCTGAAACGACTAGGCTGCATTACAGGTAAACTTAGGTAGGCATTTATGAGGAGCATTCATCCTAACAGACTAATAATAAAAGTTATTTAATGAATGAGGAATTATCTCTAAATTTATCTACTAATGAACTCATTTTATTGAAGCTTCCTAAATACTGTATACCAAATATTGAGGTTTTTACTACTTTAAAGTTCGTCTATTTCTATCGTCATAGAATCAAAGTGCAGCGAATTCACATAAGTTTTGGGGGATTCTGCGTGTCATGATATCCATGATGGCACAATGCGAATAGCCTCAAGCCTCTACACACAGTTCTGTGCTTTCCGTTGTAAGTCTTCTGACCAGTAGAGTTGAGAGTCGATTGACGATATTACTCTATTATATACATGTGCTTCATTTCATGAAACCCACTCATCTTTTCGTCTCGTTCGCATTTCACTCATCATGACCGGGTATCCCTAGCTCCGTAAACAAATTCGTCGCCTCCTCCTCGCTTTCAAGTCCCATCTCCTTGATATGCTTCCAGAACTTGCTTAGATGTCTGGTTCCAGAGTCGCACAGGATAGTAACAACACGACTCCCCTTAGGAAGTCTCATAGCTGCCTCAACCGCGGCGACACAGTTGACAGAGCTACTGCTGCCAATGAAGATACCGTCGTGCTCAACTAGCCAGCGCGCCATGCGACAGGCTTGCGCATCTGTTACTCGCACAGCATCGTCGATAAGTTCGCGCCCGGCCTCGAAGTTCTCAGTCAGACGTGTGATTCCGATGCCTTCGACCATGGTATCAACTTGCTGCCTGCGTCTTGTACCCTCACGTTCTGTCGACGAGTACATAACACCGTGGCGGACTTTGTTGTAGAGACCACTGCCCTGGGGATCGGCGAGGACGACTTTAATATTAGTCGCCTTCTGCTCCTCCTTTAGATACTTTGCCACGCCCGAGACTGTTCCTCCTGTACCTGCTCCTGCGACGAAAGCGTCCAGCTGGCCATTCGATTGTCGCCAGATTTCAGGCCCCGTTGCGTTGAAATGTGCTTTCCAATTGGCTTCAGACTCAAACTGGTTTGCGAAGAAACCCTTACTGCCATCCTTGGCCTTGCTGGCGTGCTCTTCCGCACGCCTTCGAGCCAGGTTGACAAAGTGATCAGGACTTGTGATAGGTGCGGGAGTGACGCGCTCAACGGTTGCGCCAAGATGGAGAAGGAGATCGGACTTTTCGAGAGCCATGTCGCTAGGCATGCAGATATGAGCGCGATAGCCCATTGCTCGGGCAAGAGTTGCGAGTGAGATACCTGTGCTTCCTACTGTGCCCTCATAGATAGTATCACCCTTATGCGGTGTTAGCAGACCCTTGGATTCTGCTTCCCGAATCATGTTAAGCGCAACACGATCCTTGGGTGAATTTCCAGCGCCGTTGAGGAACTCTGCTTTAGCCATAATGATCCGGCCTGTGGCCTCTGATAAGGATTGAATCTTTATAAGAGGTGTGTTACCGATGGTAGCTTCAATACCATCAACCAAGCTATTCCTCACAACATCATAAGACGTTGGTGATGAAGGCTGAGACTCATGATCTTGAAGCTCAACAGGGTCTCCCCAGAAAAGACTCGATCTTCGGCCACCACCTGTGTTTGCACGCCTTTTGCGCTGAAACCGACGTTCAAGATCTGGGTAAAAGTCTTTGAATCCTAAAGTGACGAGGATGCCGGTTGTGAAGGCGAAGACAATAGCAGCGGTGCCGTAGGCTTTTGGATGGTCGCTGAGCGCCATTTTGGGAGTTTTTGGCTGGCGTACCCAATGAAATCATCAATTGGGCATTCGCTGGAGAGCTAGAAGGCCTGCATTGTTGAGTGTGTTTCCGACGAGGTTGAGGTTGAAACTTGAATGATCTTGGCTAAAGCTGAGTTGCAAGCTATGAGTAGAATTAATGAACCCTGGTGCGTGCGTGATGTCATGTGGAGCTTAGTACATCAGCGCTATAAACCTCCAATAGTGAGATCCATGATATGATTGTTTCATTATGAGAAATGAATCGATTGGTTTCCAGTGACAAATTTTAAAAGGCTTTTGAAAAAAATGATGTTTTCTTAATTTACACGCCAGAAGATATAGCGAGACACCTTGGTCTCTAGCCTTGTCTTAAGCTTGTCCAAGCTCATCAGAGCTCTAGAGAACCGACATTTCAATATCAAGGACTCAAGTTAATTTTACATGGCAATTGTATCAAGTTCAAACGATGAAGCTATTCATAATCCAAAAAAGGAAAACTCGCACATGATCATCCGAGTATAAATTGGTATCTCTCCTCTCACTCTCAACCCGAGGTACACCCGGCAAGTTGAGACCCACCGCATCCGATGTAAACCATCTCAAACCTCAAAACACCAAATCCTCAAGAACCGACATGTCGACGATATAACAAGAGATTCTCCAACATGGACTCCCCAATCGTGGCCCAGCTCTTCCGCCAACTCTTCCACCACCGACCTCCAGGCTGTAAAGGCGCCAGAAACCTCGCCCGTCTACGCAATGGCCTTCGAACCACTATCATCAGTCATCAGAGCCGCTTCTACGTTGCGGGACGACCCTCGAGTGATCGCGGAATGAAGAAAAACGAGAGTCGATGGCAGCAGCGCACGAATATTCTCCCTCAAGACCGATCTGCCGACTTTGCAGAGTATCCCTACATATCGATTGACGAGCTCAAGCAACGTACCGAACGACCGCGAAAGGTCAAGATGCTGCTGAGAGACTTTATTGACGGCATGTCACTCGAGTTCCCCTCTCCGAATAATAGAATAACATAGCTATAGACAGTCTCTACAATCCATCATATGGCTACTTCTCCAAACAAGCCGTCATCTTCAGCCCCGGCGAGCCATTCGACTTCAACTCAATGCGCGATGAGATTGAGTTCCAGGCCGAGCTAGGTCGTCGCTACACCGAATTCGAAGATATCCTCGACGACCGAGAAGGAGAGAACCCAACACGCCAGCTATGGCATACGCCTACAGAGCTATTTCGCCCATACTACGGCGAAGCCATTGCCCGCTACCTCGTCACGAATTACCGTCTCACCACATATCCCTACCACGATCTTCTAATCTACGAAATGGGCGCTGGCCGTGGAACACTCATGCTCAACATCCTGGACTATATCCGTGAGGTCGATCCTCAAGTGTACGCCCGCACAAAGTTCAACATCATCGAGATTTCCTCCACACTCGCTGCGCTGCAAAACAGACATCTCCTCTCCACGGCTGCGTCTCGAGGTCATGCGGATAAAGTCGAGATTATCAACCGCTCCATCTTCGACTGGGACCAATACGTGCCGTCGCCTTGTTTCTTCCTCGCCATGGAGGTCTTCGATAATTTCTCCCACGACGGTATTCGCTACGACGTTGCTACCGAGCAGCCCCTGCAAGGCCACGTGCTGATCGACGGTGATGGAGACTTTTACGAGTTCTACGTTCATGAGTTGGATCCTTTAGCTGCGCGATACTTCCGCGTTCGACACGCTGCTACAGGGGGAAACTATCCTAAACCGTACCCCAGCAATGCCGTTCTACGATATCTATCCACCAAGATGCCTTTTGCTGCCAATCTTTCGGATCCAGAATTTATCCCCACACGGCTGATGCAGTTCTTCGATGTTCTTGAGAAGTACTTCCCAGGTCATCGTCTTGTGACTTCTGACTTTGACTGGCTACCTCAAGCTGTCAAGGGTATGAATGCGCCTGTTGTTCAGACACGGTACCACAGAAAGATGGTGCCCGTCACAACACCCTTGGTAAGCTACAAAGTCCACGGTTCTTGAAACTTCCTTGGTAAACTAAATATCACCCAGGTTCATCAAGGATACTTCGACATTCTGTTCCCAACAGATTTCCGCGTCACAGAGGCCATCTACCGTGCCATCACGGGTAAGCTGACTCGTGTTATGTCGCATGGTGATTTCATGCGCAAGTGGGCATATGTTGAGGATACCGAAACCCGAAGCGGGGAGAATCCCTTGATATCAAACTATCGCAACGCCAGCGTTCTTGTAACTGTATAAAATTAGCCGTGTAACAAAAGCCAAAGCAAAAGGGCACATGTAGATATACACCCGGGTTGGGAAAAGATACAGCATATACCCTCCTATCGAAACCAATATGTCATCAATGGTGTTCTTTATTCATCGTACTCTTTATGGCAATGGAAAATAGCCATGCCTACTTAAACGCTCTATATCCTTTCTTTTATCTGACCAGATCCCCGACATTACTCCCCAGTGAATGAATATCATGAATTCCCATTGAGCAGAGTAGAAACACGGTTTTTTTTCTTCTTCTTTCTGAATTTTACAGTTTCAGCTTTTCATTGAGCCACTTTGTCGCAGTCTCAACACCTTCGTCGATGTTCTCAGGCTTAGTGCCCTGGCCCTGTCGTACAGGCTCCTTGCCGCCTGATCGGCCGCCAATGATCTCAGACACGGAGGCAGCCCATTGCTCAGCAGTGACGCCCTGAGAAGCAAGGTGCTAGGATAGTTAGTTAGTGTATTCAACAACAATTATAGGGGTAGACTCACAGTTCCAACATAGACACCATGTGCAACGGCACCCTCCTCCTTGCTACCAGCAAACAGGTAAACAGTCTTCTCCTTATCCTTGCCCTGATAGTGCTTGACCACATCGGGCAAGGCTTTGCTGCCGGTGGCACCAACGGGCAGGCGGCCAACGAACCACTTGGCATCCTTGTTAGCCTCGAAGTACTTCTGGACAATGTCAAGCGCAGTCTTCGACTCGGCCTTCTGGCGCTTCTTCTGCTCAGCAGTCACAGCAGCAGAAATCTTTTGGAAGCGCTTGTTGAACTCGTCCTTTGTCAAGGTCGAGATCGTCAGTTGACTGAGCTCCACAGACACAGCCTTGACTTGAGCCTCCTTCTCAGGACCGAAAGGCAACTTATCGAGAGCATCAATCTTCTTGGAGAACTCATCAGCCTCACGTTGAACCTGGTGAGCAGCTTCACCCGTGTAGGCAATAATACGGCGGATACCCTTTGCGATACCACTCTCCTCAATAAGGATAAGGTCCTTAATCAAACCGGTCTGCTCAACGTGGGTACCACCACAGAACTCAACACTGTACTGACGCCACTCCTTCTTCTTGGGGTCGGCGAGCATCTCATCGATATCCTTACCGATGGAGACAACACGCACAGGGTCGGGATAGGTCTCACCAAATACGGCGCGACATCCCTCAATCTGGCGAGCAAGCTCCAGGTCAACCTCCTTGGAAAAGATCTTGTCCTTGCGGCGAATGTATGAGTTCGACATGTCCTCGATCTTCTTGAGCTCCTCAATCTTGACGCCAGTCTTGTGGGAAAAGTCGAAACGAAGCTTCTCGTTGTCCACCAAGGAACCCTTTTGGTTGACATCATCACCAAGAACCTCTCGCAGGGAGTGGTTCAGAATGTGAGTACCGCTGTGGTTGTTGCGGATAGGGGATCGGCGCAGTTCATCGTACTCGCAGATAACCTCGTCACCGGAGGATAGGGTACCATACTCGATATAACCGTTGTGTAGGATATAGCCACCATAGTTCTGAACATCAAGAACCTTGAACTCGGCGACATCGTCAATGACAATGCGTCCAGTATCAGCGACCTGGCCACCTGATTCGGCGTAGAAGTTGGTCTTGTCGATCAAAAGACCTAGCGCAGTCTTCTCGGGGACGTCCTTGGTCGATTTGAGGAAGGATTGGCCATCGTAGATAAGTTGGACCTTACCCTTGGTGTCACCCTGAGCAAACTTGGCGTCATCGTTAGTTCGCTCAACCTTGAGATCCTTCTCAAGCTCAGAGATTTGGTGGACATTAAGCTTGGAGAAGGTCTGAACAGACTCCTTGACTGCCTTACTGGCCTCACGAGCCTTGATTCGAGCAGCCTCAACCTCGGCATCGTCAATCTCAAGGCTTCGCTCTTCAGCCATCAATCGAGTAAGATCCACGGGGAAACCAAAAGTGTCATAAAGTCGCCAAACAACATCACCCTCGAGCTTTTTGGAGCCGCCCTTGGTGGCCTCGGCAGCATACTTCTCGAACTGAGCCTCACCACGATCCAGAGTACGGGCAAAAGCAACCTCCTCCTCATCGAGAATCTCCTTAATGTCTTGCTGCTTCTTGACAAGCTCAGGGAATTGTTCGCCCATCTGATCAACAAGAGCAGGCAAGATCTTGGAGAAGAAGGCGCCGATATCGGCATTGAAATACTTTCGAGCATATCGCACACCTCGTCTTAGTACACGTCGGACAACATAGCCTCGGCCGTCGTTGTTGGGAACAGCGCCGTCAGCGATGGAGAAAGAAAGGGTTCGGATATGATCAGCCACTACACGGTAGGCGGTATCAATGCCATCGACATCATCCTTGCCATACTTGTCGGCATAGGGTCGGGCGCCAGTGACCTCCTGGATCTTCTGGAAGAGAGGGGTGAAGCAATCGGTGGCGTAGTTGGAAACTGTGTCCTGGAGGGCAGAAACCAGTCGCTCGTAGCCCATACCTGTGTCGATGTGCTTGGCAGGAAGAGACTTGAGGCTGCCATCCTTTTGTCGATCATACTGCATGAAAACGTTGTTCCAAACCTCGACAACCATAGGATCATCCATGTTGACGAGGCTGGCAGCATTGCGGCCTCCACCGACCTTGTCATAGTGAATCTCACTGCAAGGACCACAAGGGCCTTGGTCACCCATCTCCCAGAAGTTATCCTTCATGTTTCCAGGAAGGATATGATCCTCGGGAACACCAACCGAGAGCCACAGCTCCTTGGCCTCCAGATCGGGCTCCAGCTTCAACTTCTCGTCACCCTCAAAGTATGTGACGTAAAGACGATCGGGGTCCAGACCATAGACCTTTGTCAAAAGCTCCCAGGAATATGAAATAGCCTCCTTCTTGAAGTAGTCGCCGAAAGACCAGTTGCCTAACATCTCGAAGAATGTGTGGTGATAGCTATCCTTGCCGACATCGTCGAGATCGTTGTGCTTGCCACCAGCACGAATACATTTTTGACTGTCGACAGCGGCCTTGAGACCGGCCATAGGATCGGTCTTGCCAATAGTGCCGAGGAAGATAGGCTTGAACTGGTTCATGCCTGCATTGGTGAAGAGCAGGGTGGGGTCATTGTGAGGGACGACCGATGAAGAGGGGACTGAAGCAGAGGAAGTCTTGTTAGCGATTTGTGAGTCAGAGAGAAGGAAGACAAAGTAGACAGTGGTGGTGAAGAGATTCGTCTTGAGAAATTGAGCATAATTTCAACATCTTTCAATGCAGTGGGACGTGGTGCCCGCGCTATCGCAATCGCATACCAATTGTGTGACCCCTCTGCTCGAAGTACTCGAGAAAGGTCTTGCGCACGCGCGCAGCGGGCCACTTGAGCTCCGACTCGGCCATGGTCGCGCTGGAATAAGACCGACGTAGAATAAAAAAGGGCAATCTCTTGTTAGTCGCAATCCTGAAGATATTCCGCGCAGGCGCTGTAATGATTGCCGGCCGTGGAGGAATCGTCGTGGTGATAGTGGGGGTTTCTGATTGAAGATTGTGGAGGAGAAGTTGATGTTGCTGGGGTCTGAGTTGGAGATGGAGTTGCTGTGGCGGCGCAGGCGTAGGCGGAGGAGGGTAGAAAGTTCTACAAGAATGAGTCAAGACCGAGACGGATACATAAGGCCCACGCTCTCCCGCGCCGATAATCGTCCTCAAGCTCCGGGGCCTACAGCGCCGACTCCAACGCCCGCAACCGCTGAAGCTCACTGCAGCATTTCCGTTTCCGCCCCTAGTGATACTCGTCCAATTGATGCACGCCCACATCAAGGGCAACCAACTCTAGCCTCGAGAGACAGAAGACAAACCAATCCCTAACCAAAAAAAGAAGCCCGTCGCCTTTACGCAAAAGACAAGTCAAGTCTTCAAAATTTCATCGCCACGTGTGGTTGCCAGTGTCCTTCTCCGAGCCGTTGATTCGACGTTCAGTCGGATAGTTCAGGTGTTGAAAGGTTTAAAAATTCGCCTTTTTAGGCCTTGGACTACGAATTGACCACTGTTTGAGTACCCATTGCGATCATGTTACAATCCCCGTCATCTTCCGCTCCAGCTACAGTAGCTGTAGCCGAGGGTGTCGATATGACAAGAAGATTGCGGCGAAAGAGAAAGGCAGAGACTCAAGATAATGAACGTCTTTCTAAACGCTTGAGTCTCCTTAATCTGGGTATGTTTTATTCTTGTTTCCTCAGTATCCATACTGTTCTTATCCTTGCAAGGTCCCTGAACTAACATCTATCGTACTTATAGAGCAGAGCGGGAACAAGTTATACGTCCCGGTCGAACAGCCAACAACCTCAATTTCTGCTGCTGCTCCCGCTCCTACCTCTTCCAGTGTTGCTTCGAATCCAGTTCCCGATGAGACCATGCAATTAGACGATTCCAAACATAAAGTATATATCTACAATATGGATGATGAACTCTCCTCCGATAGCGAAAGCGATGACCCGGGCAAGCTTGTCTTCCTACCAGATATCGAAAAGCATCTGCGCGCGAATCGCATCCCTCCATCAGTACTAGCCAACAGCGAGGGAGAACTAGCCGGCATGCAGGTAGTGCTGTATAGCGATCCCAAGTCGTTAACAGTGCCAGAGGACAAAGATAGCGTGCGCAAGGCCATCATCGAGTCGAGAAATCGCACAAGAGAGCTACAGCGGTTAGAGAGAGAGGGCAAGACGGAGGCTCCAACGATACAAGACACCACATTGAATACTAGTATTGCCACGAGTACAGACGACGATCCAGACGCCATGGACTTGGACTAGAGGAAGGGAAGCATATTTGACGCCCCATACATACACTTATATACCCAAGGCGACTGGAGTTTGGTTACTATTGAATTGGAAAAGAGAACCTGACGCTTGAACGCCGGCGTTTGCTTGTATTTCTATGCTAGCTACATTGATTGATTGACTTTCAATTTCATACTTTCCCACGTGGTCGCTCAGCGACTTCTGAACAGTGACATGCTTTAAGAATTAACCATTCATGCATGTATGCCTCTCAACCGAACCTTTCCAGCGCCTAACGTCATTTATCGTGGAGGCGGAGGTCCTGTTGGAGGAGCATAATAGTCTGCCGGTCCATCGGCCTGTCTCTGCTGTCCTTGCGCCGGGTCGATCTTTGAGGCATTCGGTGGCTCTTCGTACATGGGAGGTCGTGACGGATCGTAGACTGGTGGAGGAGGCATGCTATGCATGGGATATCCGCCAGGCTGGGCGTAGTTGCCAGGAGGAGCGTAGTAGTATCCGTTAGGAGGATATGCGTATCGAGGATCGACCTGAGCCATCATGCGCCTACTAACAAAACACTATGGGTGGTTAGAATTGGTGTTTGAATGTGCATCACAGGTGCGACTTACTCTATGATATGCTAGCGGTCGTAAACCCTTTTGGATTCTCTTCTTTGCATGCCAGTATCCTCCGACAATCCAGAGTGTAAAAAGAAGTACAATGACAGCGAGAATAGTCCATTTGACGATATATCCCTCCTGTTGTCGAGTTAGCATACGCAACGTGAACGTGCGAAAGTTAATGATGGGTGCTTACTCTACTATACCACCAATACACATCGTCGTCATCAGTGAAGTACTCGGAACTCTCATCGTCCCTGCGCTCAAGCGCATACCTCACAAAACTCGCCATATTGGCGATAAGAAATCGTTCTTTAGAATAGGTTGTCGGGCGTGTTTGTTGATTTTGAGATGGATGGAATCAACCGAGTACGAGGTACGTTGAACGGTACACCGAGGTCCGTACAGGTGATTGATTGGAAGTGCTCTCCTCCACTAAAGTTCACAGTTGCCAAGGTGCCAGGTGCCCGAAGGATGCGTAAACAACCCCCAATCGCAGGGATAAATGAATGGATGTGAAAGTCAGCACTTGTGAAATAAATAAAAAAGAACGGCCCCCAGTGAGTAAGAAGATGAAGGGTCGAGAAGAAAACTAGAAAGCGTTTATTAGGAGGATATGCTGAGAATTCCAAAGGGAGAAGGTTGTTTTTCACATAAAGCCCGTCGTACAAATACGACTTTCCCCCCTTCGGTTTCGTTTTAAGCGGGCGCTCCAGTGCACAAAGGCAAGACAAGAAAGGGGACAGGAGGGGGCGATAGCCACAGCCAGTGCCTTTATCGTGCGTAGACGCGACGATCTCTGCGGCAGAGTTACGTTACTCTCGACTCCTCAAGTTTCACAGGCTGACAGTGGCAGGGTTGTTGTCACGTCCCAGCGGCTACGAGCCTAAGACAAGCCACAGAGCCGAAGAAATGCACCACCCTCTTTGTCTCTTACAAGTCTATCGCTACTCCGTTAGGATGACCATCTTTGAATAAGGTAGCGACTAATTATCTAGTTAGCCCCTCAGCTTACTGAAGGTGAGGGTTGCTTTAAAGAATCCTTCATGAGGAGAATAAGACTCTGCCATAATATGAAGCACAAGCCCTGCATATAAATGAGACCCGGCAATGAGTATTACTGTACATATCGTGCTCAATAGACTGTGAGACGGATCAATCTACGTCCGTACTGTATTAGTGTATGACAGGCAGCCATCAGCTCAGCCTCCTCGTAGGTACTTGAAACATCTCGTCTTTTCTTTCATTGCTAGAAAGCCACTGAGAAGCAAACACGGTCATTCCAGCCTCATTCTATCATGCACGCTCAACTCCCCGAGTCGTGCAAAACTCAAAAATCTCACTTCGATGTTAACAATCGTTACACTTATACATGCAAGGTTGCAACGATAAGTTTATCATTTGTTCTGATAATCAATCCAAAGACGCCATCGCTCTAATGTTATTAACGAGATAAACAACCCACTCTTCTTCTGAGATTTTACAAAACGACGCCTCCAGCGGCCCCCCAGCCAGCAAAGCCAGGACCTGGTCCATCGAGAGGAGGGTTCGGAGGAAGGCCTTGCTCTCTTCTTCGAGCGTCTTCTGCTTGTTGATGTGCCTGTTGCAGCCGCTGTCGCCACCATAATAAGAAGACGAGTGAAAAGGTGACTCCAATGATGAGGATGCTTTCTAGAACACCATCGTCGTCATCTGTTCTCTGTCCATCGCCGAGAGCACCATCGTATAAGTCACCTCCGGTGTAATGATCATCCTCGTAGTATTGGTTATCTTCTCGAAGGAAGTTGGCGATCCACTCGGAGAATGAGCGATCTTTCTTAGGTTCTGGAAGCTTTGTAAGTATACACCTAGGATTTGCATTTGATAAGAGAAACTTACTGGGCTCATCCTGGATAGAGTGAATCGGTCCATGTGTCAGTGTGTTCCAAGCGCTTCGAAGGCGAAGCTTCAGGAGACTCAAGGTCACTGGTAGGTATGCCTCATCATTTACCTCCAGGGCATGATCGTAATATCTCTTTGCGAGATGGAAATCTTGTACAAGACCAATGCCGTTTTCGTGCATCCAACCGAGGTTGAACAGTGCCTGTGCGCTCTGGGAGTAGTCGGAGGCTCCGGTGTAGCACTGAACTGCTTTCGTGATATCTTCTTCAGTACCAATGCCATGATAATAATAATCACCCATCTTGACCAATGCGTCAACATTAGACTGTCTAGAAGATCGCGTCCAGTAAACAAGAGCAAGAGATGGATTCTTGAGAAGACTGCTGTTCTCTCGGGGCTGGCCAAGTAACGACAATAGGGAAACCCCATTTTGAACAGAATCTATCATGTAGGCAACATTAGTCTGGGCCTTCTCGTAGCCCTGCTCAGCAGCCAGAAGATATTCAAGGAATGCAAGCTCGTAATCGCCAGCCTCGTAAGCGTCGTTGGCGTCGCCCCATGATGATACTAGGGGCTCTGCCTTCTCGGCAACGCTCTTGTAATACGTCAAGGATGCAGGACAATGCTTCTCTCGTCCAACGCCATGATGGATCATCTCTGCAATGTAGTAATGGGCTTCGATATTGCCGTGCCTACCGGCGAGTTCAAAATAGTTGTTGGCAATCCTGACGTCTTCCTGGCCACCCTGGTCCAGGTAAAGCTGACCCATCTGCACCAAAGCTGGGGCGTAATCCTGATCGGCAGAAGACTTGAAGAGTTCCATAGCCCTCTTCACATTCTCTTTCTGACCGTAGCCATGAAGCATCATTAGACCAAGACCATGTTGTGACTGGGCATCGTGTTGTGTAATGCCACGCTCGAACCACACCTTTGCCCGTTCAAAGTTCTGAGGAACACCGTCGCCTCTCAGATACATCCGACCCAAATACCCAGCAGCCTTACTAGCAATCTTCTCGATGCCGGGCTTCGGGTTCTCGCTCAGACGCCCATCCTTCTTCCAGTAACGCAATGCCACCAGAACAAAGTATTTGCGTGCTAGGTCAACGTCTCGTTCCAGGCCTCGTTGGCCGTCATAGTATATGCGTCCGAGGTTATATGAAGCCTTTGAATCGCCTTTTTGAGACATAAGATCCAAATATTCAATCACGTCGTCTATGGCGGCATTCGCATCAGAGCCAGGGCTAGCCTTGAATGCGTTCATGCCTGAGCTTGAAGCACTCGCTCCTTCTCCATAGATACCTCCATCGTCATCAGAAATTCGCCATGACTGGTGGATCCAAGATCGACCACCAGGAGGGCCCGCTCGATACCAAGCAATAGCTTTGTCTGCGACACGCTTGTAATATTTTACTGCCGCCTCGCAATTCTTCGTCGTGCCAATGCCGGCATGATGTCTGAAGGCCGTTGCCATCTCCGCACGAGCATTGCCACGAATAGCAGCAAAGGTATAATAGAGAAGCGCCTTGGCTTGGTCACGCTCTACCACATTACCGATCCCGGTCGAATAGTAGACTCCAAGCATATACTGGGCTGTTGAATTTCCATAGACAGTTGCAAGTTGATGGTAGTTGTTGAAGGCCACCTCCAAGTTCCTTGGATAACTATAATTACCGAAGTAGTTTATCTCGGCAAGAAGGTAGAGGGCATCGGAGTTGTTTTGCTGTGCAGCCTGTTCGAGAAATTCAACCGCTTTTGCGACAGCACCGTTGACAGTGGTCTCATGGGATTGCGATGGGGCGGTTGCAGGACCAGATGGAATGGCTTTAAGTATGTAACGCAGAGCGGTTCCGACGAGTCCCGAGGGTCTTCGCTTTCGGCGATGTAAAGGTTGAGGAGCTTTGGTAAGTTCTATTCTTGCTGCGTCGACCAGTTCCGCGCCTAGAAGCAGTCAGTGTCTTTGCGCCTTGTTGGTGGTGGGAATAGTCGTACCAGGTTGCGGGCCAGCAGGTTGACTTTGATCGACAACGACGTCGGTCTTGGGAGAAGCGATATAGTGATTCTGTCCAGCTCCTTCAAGGGTTTTATCCTTATATGTTTCGTCATAATGTTTGACATTTGTGCCGAGTCCTGTTGTTGCCTGCCAAAGCACTAATAGAGAAGTCAGTAAGCCAAATTGACAGCTGTCGCGTGTTACAACAAGATACAAAGTGATTGACTAACAGAGGACCCAGACTATTGATTGACGCATCGTTGGCAGCTGCTATGTGCCGGAAAGGTCAATTCTGCTATAAAGCATGGCTATAATGCAGAGTAATAATTTGATGAGGCCAACGGTGTTGGAGTTACAAGCTGTCCAGTTGAGGTCGGAGCTTGCATGAGGTAATGCGGCGGCCCAGAAGGGAAAAGCGCGGCACTGTATGGCTGATGATTAAGCAACATTAGGCCAGGAACCGACACCACTCTACGACCCTATTACATTCATTCAATATCAGGTGACAGATGAACTCCTCTCTACTTTTGTCTTTGCATTATGAGAATTGAAAATCAATTGGAGCCTACCTTAATCTCAATGCGTGCGGTCACCAATAAGAACAGTATGAAATTAGATCTGGCTCTCTATCTAAGTATCTAGGGGAGGTAAGAAAACTTAGGATCTTTATCCTAAATGATAAAAAGACTTAGGTAAATTTAGCATAGATTTAGCAGATATTAGACTAGTGATTTTTGGCACCTTGTCTAAAGGTAAGAAAGTTCTCTCGCTCCCTGAGGGCCATATCGTGCACCAACTATTTGAGAGATTTCACAATCGCATTTGAAGATCATGTCCACTCAGCAGAAGCACAGCAAACAGTTTCGACTTAGGCTGAATCATAGACTAACAGAAGAATGATTTCTAATGATGTGGCTAAATCTATTCGAAAGGTATTACGACAGGTGATAAGTTTATTCAACATATATTATCTCTCCATATGGAGGAGCTCAGAGCAACCCAAATTCACTAGGCATCCCACATACCTAAGGACCATCCACACTTGAGCAACCATCAGTTCGAAGAGCTGTGATCTGCCGAAACTCTATTTGATAGCCACTTTCAACAAACAGAAGCAATTATACTCAAATATCGCTTCGGCGACTACCCAATTTGGAGTCATTCAACTTGATGCTTGGCGAACTGACGGCGTGGCTTGCTAGTGCTGAAGCTATCCTAGGCCCCAACCACTCAGAGTTTCAGGTCCCTGCAGTTAGTGTCTCTCCAAGCCTCCTCAACGCGAACGTCACGGGGACCGCGTTAATGGCTGGGAGCTAACGCGGTTTACTTAACGCGCTTGCATTTAACTAACTCCTGGGCCTTGCATCACCACTTTAGCCCGAAATTCTTACCACCATACTCTTCTCCTCTCTACGCATTGTACCACCACACATCTCAGCAATTACTTGCAATACTCATAGTTTTTGTCTTTTACTTTGACGAATACTGTAACTGTATAATTTGGCTCGGTTTTGTACCAATTGCCCAGAATTCGTTTCGTTCGAGCTCTCGTCACAAGAGTCCCTCCCTCGTATCGAAGGCTCATCGTGCATCCACCTCCCACCATCAGTCTCCACATACAAGCTATCGCCATGTCGACTCTCAAACGCAAAGCCGGTGCCTCAGCCGGGAATGACTCGAAGAAGCCCAAAGCGAATGGCAACATTGCTTCATTCTTCGGAGCCGCTCCTAAGCCTGCTGGTGCTGGTGCTTCTGCTCCCGCACCAGCCGTCAAGTTCGATAAGGCCAAGTGGGTGGCTTCTTTGAAACCAGAGCAGAAAGAGCTCTTGCAGCTCGAAATCGATACTCTTGACGAAAGCTGGTTGGCACATCTGAAGGATGATCTTGTTACAAAGGAGTTTCTGGACCTGAAGCGATTCTTGGATCGGGAAATCAGCTCTGGTCGCAAGGTATTCCCACCTAGGAACGACATCTACTCATGGTAAGGACGAACTATCTTTCTACCAGCTGCGACAGCACCTAACCTGTGGCTTATAGGTCCCGTCATACTCCCTTCAGCAATGTCAAGGTTGTCATTGTTGGTCAAGACCCCTACCACAACGACAACCAGGCCCACGGATTGGCATTCTCCGTTCGACCTCCGACTCCTGCGCCACCATCTCTCAAGAACATGTATATTGCTCTGAAGAAGGATTATCCCACATTCGAGCCACCGCCAAACCGAGGAGGTCTTCTCACCCCTTGGGCAGACCGTGGTGTTCTGATGTTGAACACTTGCCTGACAGTTCGAGCCCATGAGGCCAACTCGCACTCCAATCGAGGATGGGAGAAGCTCACACAGCGAGTCATTGATCTGGTGGCTCAAAAGAGAACAAGGGGTGTGGTCTTCATGGCCTGGGGAACACCAGCCGGCAAGCGAGTGCAGAAGATCGATCGCGTCAAGCATCTTGTACTTCAGAGTGTCCATCCTAGCCCTCTCAGTGCTTCCAGGGGTTTCTTTGACTGCGGTCACTTCAAAAAAGCCAATGACTGGTTAATTACACGATATGGACCTGAAGGAGAGATTGACTGGGCACTCGGACCTGGCACTTCCACAAAAGCTCCAGCGACGGAAGCCGATACCAAAGAGGCTAAATCTGCTGAGAAAAAGGCTGAGGTCATTGAGAAGACCAAGCCTGAAGTGGTGAAGAAGGTTGAAGAGGATAAGGAGAACGATGCCTTCGACGAAGATGAGGAAGCTCTTGAAGAGGCCCTCAGGCTGGCCGAGGAAGAGGAGAAAGAAAAAGAAAAGTAATGTTGAAATTGTTCGGGCTCGGAGTGTATGTGTCATGACGGCGTTCAACACTAAGGGAAAGGTACTGGGCATGCAAGCGTAGGGACAGCTTTTCAGCTATTAAATTTTCGGTTCCGGGTCAGGGATCAATGTAGGATCAGCCTCGGGAATCTATGTACATGGATATTGGAAAAGGTTTATAGGATGGATGAATACGGAACACTATGACGCTCAATGCGTGATCCTCACCTGGTGCAACTCCTCACAGCTTGACGCTTAGCATAAAGTGATAGATTGTTTCGGAAATCAAGGCGCGGCCGGAAGGGACAGAACGTTCCGGTTTGAGGTAGATCCTTGATATCTGATGCTCAACACTTTTATCGTATCATGTTCACGGTCAAGAGAAAGGTCCGTGTTTAAGAAATTGTCAAGGTATCCCCGCTGTTCAGCCCCCCGAACTGGTCTCATCTGGGTATCCTTCTCGAAGGCGAGGCCGAAGCTGAGGATCCATTTTCGTTTCAAGAAGAATGAGGCGATCTTATCATCTCTATGATTGGTAAAGAATACGGAGGTGAAGGGGATTATAAATGGCGAGGTCAGATGGAATGATGTACTGGTATGTTGTGGCTTCACAAACTGGTTAGGATGAGTTGATGTGAAATAATGTAGACCACTTCAGGCCACCATGCTGCACAAGGAGCTGAACCAGTCCAGGCAGTGGCCGGTTCTCTTGGATATCGATGGCCTCTGGGCGTACATTCACGGAAGAGGAAGCGCATGTTAGGCTCAGATGAGCTTCGGCGACCAGGGTTCCTGAGCTCATGAGGCAGATCATGGATCCATGACGGGCAACGGGAATAGCCTCTGCACTAACTTATGCCATTGGATCATCTAACTCAAAGGATCACAATGAGCAAGGGTTTCGATAAAGCTGAGACAGACTGGAAAATCTACATTCCAGTTTGGGAGACGTCAATCTGACAGTAGAGCCTCACCTTAAAGATATACTGTGCATCGCAATTCATCTGCATGTCAAATATGTAAGTTATTCTTCGCCATCTTGCGTAAGTAACTGCCAACTCATCACGTCGATCTCGGAAACTCTTGCCAAACAACCACTCAAAAATGTTCCAGGCAACGGCTTTGCCTGGGGAGGGTGGGATGAGGATGCGCTGGCGATGCCAACACACACCCATGAGCCCCACGGATGACCGAGCTACTGGTACAGATACAGCCATTGGACCACAGCTACAGAAGCTAGGAAAGAAGTCAGAATGGCGGCTATATTTGGACTCTTCAGAGCCAAAAAGCTTTCTATGTTCGTGATCCAGAATCCGTTGTAAGCGAGAGGTTCCTGGCAAAACATGGAATATCCCAGGTCAGTGATCAGCTCAACCATGAGCTAGAGCGCAAAGAAGTAATTCAATCGGCCGAGGGCGACTCGATATGGAATAAATAAGAAAAAAGACAGATATTGCCTCTCATGACGTGGAGTTGGGCTGAAGACTGCTTGATAACAGTGCTGTTATTGGCAGGGGAGCGAGCATCAGAAGAGGCTATGGTTGCGGCGCTTTAGTTCTAATGGAAATGGAGCTCTAAAAGAGGCACGGGAATTACGAAACGTTGGCGGCGAGCCACCCGCCATAGTGCTCGATAGCATTAAAGCGCAATATGAGAAAATGCGTATCGTTTGGCTGCTCATATCTTTGGGCCCAGGAAACATGATGAGCTAAAAGCTTTTGGCGTCCAACCATGGCGCCAAGATGACACGCTTGCAGGGGCCACTGGCGGTAATTACCCCTGTCCATCATCCCAAGTTGGATCTCGTTGATGAAGCTTAACCTCCACTGAATACATATGCTGCCGGGAACTCGAGTCACCTGCATATTCAGAGACTATTGACGATATGACCCGTGTTGAAGAGTTCTGCAAGCCATTTCTCGGCCGGTGAAACTGTGACCGGAGCAAACTGGTGCGATAAAAAGGTCGTTGGTGCCCATGAGGCCATCCAATTAATTAATTACACGGGCAGCCCGCTTGCTCGATGTAATTAAAAAGCAGAACTTTAAGGAACGTGGAGATCCACTCGACTAATAAAGCCTTGGCGTTGTGCAACGGCTGAGTCCCGTCTGCTAGTGCTAGCTGATCCAATGGTTGTGTTTGGTGTGTACCTTTCTGTGACTCTCATAATTTCTGTTCGAGGGACGGGAAAGAAATCAAGGTTGCTGTTAGCAAATGATATGAGAAGATTGCAAAGATTTTATGATTAGTTTGTAGAGGTATCCTCAAGCAGGGCAAACTTATTATTCTTAGAAGAGCCTGTTGAATAAGTGTCACTAAATAAGAAAAGTTGGCAACTTCTTTTTCTTACCTGAAGGACCCTTGAGATAGACTGGAATGGGCCAAGAAACTCAAGGCCGAGGGCAACTCGTGTGTCATGATTCTCAGCCTCATTGTTACAGTGTACAATTATGTATGTGTTGTGTGTTGCACAGCATGACCGTTGTTACAATAAGAGGCTGTAGATTTGATTCAACTATCAACCAAGCAACTCATACAATTCAGTCAACATTGTTGAATATTGTTCGATCTGTAAACTATTCATCTCCATGATAACTCAATCTATGCACGCCCATCACATCCATATTGCCCCCCCCCCCCCAACCCCTACCCGCCCCATGTCCTCTTGTTCATGCTCTCTATCCTCTCATCCCAGCGAGAAGCCCAATTCCCAATCTTAGTGCTCTTGTTCTTTTTTTCATTGTACGTACCGTCCAATCCAATCCTATTCAGTCCACCATGAGCCTGGTCGCGCATCCCAGTCGCCCCCTGAGCGCGTCCCCCCCATCCCACTGTCACCCTCACAATTCTCATTTTGTCGTCTCATCTAGACTAGAGAGTCGCTTTTTCTCCTCTTAACCTTCTCCTCTTGTATGATTCAACTTTTCCTTCTTTTCCATTTTCATCTATTTTCTCTAAACCCTGGCTTCTTGAGCCCCTCCTTTTTCCATTCTTTCTTCTCTCTGTTTCGTTTCGATACCCAGTAGCCAATCTCTGTGTTGACCTCTGAATAACTGAGGTGCAGAGGGGAAAAAGCGTCCCCTACTAATTTTATCTGTACGCCCACCCAACTTGGCTCATCTGCCGCAGGTACGCATCAAAACTGCCCGATGCCCACCTTCCCTGACTTACACGTCTCGCCTTGTCTTGCGTGCAGCAGCATCTTCAGCAAACGACACCGTCATCATTTTTATTCCTACTAATACTTTTCACCAAAAAGTTCTCGATTCTCCATTGTTACTTTTCAATTCTCTTATCGACAAACGACCAAAACCTTGCTCTTTTACAACTTCAGCTGGGGAAATTATAACGAATACCTAGCTGCTGTTACCTTATTTAAAGCATCTCCTGAAAGATCACCGCCCCTTTATTTGAGATCTACTTCGACTCGACCCGACGTCACTTTCCCTATATCCAGCGCATGGAATTTCGCTGCGGTCTCGTTTAATTCTCGATTTCGAATTATCATTCTAGCCATAACACATAATGGCAGGCCTTTTTTCTCGCCTCAAGGGCAAGGATGGCAAATCCAAAAAGAAAGGCGCAAACGATTCTACACAGCAACTACCACAAAAACCACAATGGACAGACGCTTGGGCACGCACATATGTTGAGCCTGAAGAAGTTCACGAGTTGATCCGATGCTGCACAGAAGAGCTCAAGGCTCGGGGTATGTCAATTATTATATGAAATACATAATCTGTATCTTTATGTGCACAGCATGCTGATCGCCATGTCATACCAGGCCTCGACCACCCTTTCCTCTTATTGCCATACCGTCCCACCTCCGATCCCAGCGCCGTTCGTTCCTTTATTCGCCATTTCTTCGAATCCCATGCCAATTTACGAGGCGAACAATTGACACAAGAACTCCGCATGACGGAACCTATGGTCAGTAAATGTGCGAAAGAGGGGCATGATCGCAACTAATGTTGAGATAGGTGGTTTCTGGAGTCGCCAAATGGTGCTGGAGTCGCATTCAGGGGGGTATCGTTGGTTGGGATGCGTATGAACTATTCAAAGTGGGAGAAATTGGTATGCGCTTCTCAATCTAGGTTTGCCAACTATGCTAACTTATACTACAGACTCGAACATGGCCCGAGACTCTTTCAAGACGTTCATTCCCATCAGTGTTGAGAATGGTGCCCGTCAGCGCATTATCTTCGACTTCTTCGACCTACTTGCCGCAGTTGCAGCGCACGGCAAGTCCAATGGTCTAGGCGGACGAAAGCTTTCACGAATGGCAGCATGGTGGGCATTCGAACATAAAGATACCAAGAAGGGTTTCGAAGGAGGTTACGATGCTTGGCTTCGGTAAGTACCCCTGAGGCTTATGATGTTCGCGATTGCTTACCCAGAAACTAGTGCCGCCGATGCCACAAGCCATATGTTCTTCGCCTTCCTTAGATCTCTCTCACCCGAGCAAAATGTCACTGGTATTACCATGCTACCTAGATCCCTCCAGAAACTACTTCAAGAAACCGAGTATCCTCCTCAGCGACCTTCTCTTATGATGTCAACCACGAACAAAGTTGTTATGATTGTGGATACTGTATCGCCAACTCCTTTTGCGCTCCTTCGGAGAGCAAACCACTTCCAATATCGTGATTCGGACCGCGCATTACAAGAGTTTTCTGAGTACGACGACCCCGTGCAGGCTTTGACAGACGAATGTCGCCGTGTTCTCAAGGCTATTTCTGGTGCCAATCAGTCACAAGCTTCAAGCTCGAAGCACTCTACAAGCTTGCGCGACGCCTCCTGGTCACGATTTGAGGATATTGGCTTCTCTTCTACCCTGGATGAGGACGAAGACGACGACGATAGTGCTTTGACCTACAAGCGCCAGCCACCCGCTCTGCGAAGAACCCCTGCTTCTGGTAACGGACTCGGTAGACCGACAACCCCGTCTTGGGCCGACTTTCTTTCTTCGGGATTTGTGGATGAAAACCAGCCTGCTCGGTCAAACTTGCTTCTACCCCCTGACAAGGTTCTGCCTCCCCTCGAAACCCAGAGACAACAAAGTTCTCAATCGCATCGACCAAGGCTTGAACATGATCACTCGCTTGAGCCTGGTGAGCTCGCAAGTATTGCAACCTTTTTGCTGGATGATTCGTTCTGGTGGGTTTGGATGTCCAGTCTTGCCCCTGAGGAGACTGCAGAGCGCAAGTCGGCCTTCGGACGATGCGCCGTTATCGAAACCAAGATCACTAGTGGCCGTTGGCTCGTA